CCGACCTCTTTCTGTATAACCTACGTATGAAATTATGTATGGCTGCTAATAACTCCTACTAACTTGTCCTAAACAATCACCAATTTGTTATAACTTTGATGTAAGATCCATCATCATGTGCCACCCCCTCCTCCTTCACGTTCTCCTCCTCCCCTACTCAATCACTTTCTCTTTATAAATACCCTCCTTTCTCTCCTCATTTCTCTCTCGATATCTATCCCCCTACGTTTTCCTCGTTCTCTGTGTGTGCGTGCGTGTGTATATATACACAAACTGGGGTGTCGAATAGCCGCATCCCAGGCCACAAGCTTCAATATAGTAGTGCTCTCGATCGCCTGAGATTAGCTCGAGATCCTAAATAGCTAGCTAACATGGCCATCATGAGCTCTCAACATACTTTGGCCCTTACCTTTGGCATCCTCGGTATATATATGTGGTCCTTTCTCTTTCTAGAGTTTGTCTGTTTTTCTTTTCTGGCTCTGGAATTTCTTATACCAGTTGGTTTAAATTTTCTACTTTTCCATCTTTGTAGTAATCTCTCTCTCTCTCTCTATCTTGTAGTTGAACTCCCTGTGCTTCAAATTAAAAGTGACTTATATATGGGAAGGGTTTTGTGAGTCCTCCGCTGGTAACTTGATAAGGAAAGCGGGGTTTATTTATTAAGTTTGGGGACTTCCCTAACCAACTAGTCTTTTAGGATAGGCTTCTCCTGTGGGTCATGATGCAGTATGTTTTGTAGCCTTTACTTCTAATTGATGAATTTTTTTAACTGGAGAATTCTACGTGTGTGTTTGGCTTGGCGTTTTGAAGCCCAAAAGTGGCTTCTTGATATCATAAGTACGATTGTAAATTTTATAGGTGTTTGGTGGGGTTTTTAGGCCATCCCACTTATGGCTAAAAAATAGGATTGAATCACACAAATTGATATGCTCCTAATAGTAGCTTATTTTGAGTTTTACCGTGCTTGTGATTGGTAGGAGTATACAATTGAAACAATTATTACACTATCATATTTTCTCACTCTTTCCCTTACTTTATTCTCTCTCATTCTCTCATTATTCAAAAGCTTTTCATGCTGGTTCTTATTATTAAAATAATATTTTAAAAATATATTTCAGTGATGAAATTTTGCTTCTCCACATTAAAATAATTTAAATTTATTTTATTATGTAAATTTATTTTCTTAATCATTTATCATTATTTAATAAAACTCATACTCATTTGGGTAATTTTAGAAACTAAACTTACTAATTTAAATTTATTGTATTATGTAAATTAATGTCTCTATTATTTTTCATTATCTAATAAATCTCATACCCATTTTGATAATTATGCAAACTAAACTTATTTTTATTCAATCATAATCCAAACAACATTTTATTCAAACTAACTTTTATAAAATTCAATCCAAACATAATTCACATTATCTAATTTAACTTTTTTAAAAGTCAAATTGATAATAAACTATTTTTCTAATTTCTAATCCAAAATGACCCTACATCTCCTGTACATTGGTAGTTGTTTATTTTTATAGCTCTGTCACAGCCAAGTGCTTAAATAGTTCTCTCGTGTTTGGATTCGCAGGGAACTTCATATCCTTCCTGGTATTTTTGGCACCTTTGTAAGTATATAACTTCTTCTCCCCCACAAACACCCTTAAGTTTTCGGAACTATCATATATATATGTGTGTGTGTGGGTGTGTGTGTGTAATAATGTGGAAGGATTTTAAGGTCGGTATATTAATGAATGATGATATGAGATTAATTTGGAAAAATGAAAATGAGGACAGGCCAACATTTTACCGGATATACAAGAAGAAATCGACGGAAGGATTCCAGTCAATCCCGTACCTGGTGGCGTTATTCAGTTGTATGCTTTGGCTCTACTATGCCTACCTCAAGACCCACGCCCTTTTGCTCATCACCATCAACTCATTCGGCTGCGTTATTGAGGTCATCTACATCCTCGCCTTCATCACATATGCCCCCAGGGAAGCCAGGGTATGTGATACACACACACCATGATCTTAATTGCTTACTTAATGAATATTAATAATTTGATTTGGTGTTGCAGAAGTTGACGATTAAGCTGATAGGAGCCATGAACTTGGGGTCGTTCGGTTTGATCATGTTGGTGACGCAATTTGCTATCCATGATGCTGCCTTACGTGTTCATGTGCTGGGTTGGATTTGCGTTTCCATTTCTGTCTGTGTCTTCGCTGCTCCTCTCAGCATCATGGTCAGTCAGTAACTCAATGGTTCCAGCAGAAGCTATTCCAACATGAAACCAATTACATGTTCAAGTCCTCTCCATATATCTCTTTCACTTCAATTAAATTGAATCTGTGTTTTGCAGGCACAAGTTGTTAGAACAAAGAGTGTAAAGTATATGCCATTCACCCTCTCATTTTTCCTCACATTGAGTGCGGTCATGTGGTTTGCTTATGGCCTCTTCCGCAGGGACATATGCGTTGCTGTAAGTTCATATATATATATATATGCATAAACTTTGATTTGAGAGAGAGAGATATATATATATATATATCCCTCCACTTACTAATATGAAAGTGAGGTTGCATTTGATCCTAAATACTACCTTTGCCTCTAAATATAAGAGCTAATTGACTAATTTGAATAAATTAAAGAAATAAGTTAAGTTAGTTATTTGTAATAAATAGGTGTTGTCTTTTCTAAGATATCCTTACTAATCAAGTTTATTGGTTAGAACTATCATTATTAGAAGGACTATCTTGAATAAAAAAAGGATTAATATGAGAAACAAATAGATTGATGTATTATATTTAGGCCAAAAAAAAAGTTAAGTGAGGTCTTGTATTAAAGACCGGAGGTAGTATAAGATATGAATATACTTTTTTGCTCATATTTGACATTCTCCTCTATATGTCCCAGACTAATTTACCTAACCTTTGAATAAATATATGTGTGCGCCATTTGGTATAATTAGATAATTTATTTGTATATCTAGGTGCCGAATGTGCTGGGATTTGCGTTGGGGTTGATGCAGATGGTGTTGTATGGGATATACAGAGATGGTGGGAAGAAGATGATGGAAGGAGAGAAAGAGGTGGGGATGGAGGCAGTGAAGGAGGTGGTGGTGGGAATGAACCAGAGAGGAAGCAGTGAGGTGTTTCCAGACCCAGTGGGAATCGTTGTTGCTGATGATGGGAATAATAACCTTAATGTTGCTGAGTTTAAGGATTGTCCTGTCTGAGTTTCTCGGATTAAATATACATATCAACTTATTATGAGGGAGAAGAGAAAGAGAACAAGTGGGGGATAGAGACATATATATGGCCAATTGGTTGCATTCTTTCTGTGGAACTTTCCATTATTAGAAAGACTCTTATGATCATCGACCAACACACACACACACACCAAAGCGGGATCATCAACAGTAGTTTTATTTTGCTTTTTTCTTCTGTCGTTATTTGCCTATATATGCTACTGCAGGTTTCCTTATCATCAATATTATCGTATTGCGTGCGTGCGTCGTATTTGTAACCTTTAATTTCTATAAATGGAAATTTTGATGTTTCTTTTTACTGCAGATCGATCATATCACCCTGTGTACGCGCCAAATCCTTTAGTTTTCCTCTTCTTCTTTACATATTATGAATATGTCTCACTTCATTTCATCACCTCGATCAACTTTCATGCTGTTTTCCTTCTTCGTAAAGGTGATAATTTTAGTTAATTTAGAGCCGTTTAAAGAGCCATTCTGCAATATTACTCCTGAAATTTCCAATACATGGAAAACCTTCCAAACAAGGAGGCTAAAGTAAGATGATATATCTGCGTATATATGTATGTATATAAAGCACCCATATATATACACACACAAACTACCTCTAATCCTTGATTTTAGAACTATTTAACTAATTTAAGTAGTTAAAAAAATTAATTAAGTTAGCTATTTAACTAATTTAAATTTTCTAAAGTATCATTTTAATCATGACACCGTGACGACATACAAAATAAAAATAATAAATCAGATCAAGATATTTTAGACTTTCGGTGTTTTAAAATTCATGAATTTCAAGATAAAGTAGGTTTATTCTCTGTTTACAATTTTTACTACAAAACTAAATTTACATATATTGTCTTTATGTTAAAATTTGCAGCTTAGGCTTTTATATGTTAAAACTTACAAATTTAAATAAACTATAACTTTCGGTGTTTTAAAATTCATGAATTTCAAGATAAAGTAGGTTTATTCTCTGTTTACAATTTTTACTACAAAACTAAATTTACATATATTATCTTTATGTTAAAATTTGCAGCTTAGGCTTTTTATATGTTAAAACTTACAAATTTAAATAAACTATAACTTTCGGTGTTTTAAAATTCATGAATTTCAAGATAAAGTAGGTTTATTCTCTGTTTACAATTTTTCCTACAAAACTAAATTTACATATATTGTCTTTATGTTAAAATTTGCAGCTTAGGCTTTTTATATGTTAAAACTTACAAATTTAAATAAACTATAACTTTAGTTATCAAATCTTCTTTTCATCCAAAGAGTTGAGCCACTTGGCCTCCTAGGCTAGCTATCCTGTTAGTTTGAGCTCAAGCAAAAATTCTGTTTTTTAATTTGTTTCTCATTTCTTTTCATTAACAAATCTTTTTTTTTAAAAGAAGAAAAAGAAATTATAGCAAGCAACTGAAAAATAGCCGAAATGGACCTCGGAGACACAGACAAAAATGAAAAAGGAAAGGAAAGGAGATATTCATGATACAAATAGATATTTGTCACGAGAAGAGTTCGAAAGAATACTAAATTATTCCTAAGAAAAATAAAACCTAAGAATACAGAGGCAGCTCAAAACCTTAGAATTTATGTCGTTTTCCCTCTTTTTGTCCTCCTTCGAACAGCAGATGGAAATGAGAAACAAACATGAACAGACATAAAAGAACAAAGGAACAGATATATGTAATGAAAATGAATCATGAAAGATAATGACAAGCTAGAGTGGCGATTATTATTTTGCATGGCGGTGGGCGGTGGCGTGGTTGGTTTCGACGGGAGGAGTGTGGTGGTCGGAGGGAAGCTTAAGTTTGCTGAGAGAAGAAGGAGAAGAAGGAGCAAGCTTCAGATCCTCACAGTTACAAACCTCAACCATGAAACCATCAGGATCGTTGAAGAATAACTGATTCATTACTGTCCCATCCTCTGCTTCCATCGTCTTCTTCATGTACTTCACATTGATCTTCTTCAACCTCTCCTCCATTCCTTCCATGTCCTCACACTGAAAAGAAATATGATTGTCCTGGGGATCCAACTGGTGAGTTTTGGAAGGCAATTTCTCATCATCCTGAGACTGAACCAGATGGATGCCTACTCCATAGTTAAACAACCAAGCTCCTTCAAAATCCAGAACTTGAGGCCTCTCTATCTCCACAAACCCTAGCACCTTCGTGTAGAACTCTATCGATTCCTTCACGTCTCTGCAAACCCTCGACACGTGATTCAGAGCCTTCAATGGAGCTGCTGCTACTTCTTTTTCCTCTGGTTTTTTCTCACCGTTTCTTTCTCGAACCTCCTGCGTCTCCGCCATTGTTGTTCTCAGGGTTATGGTAAATCACTTAGTTCTGAGATCTCTGAAGGGTTAGGGATGAAGGTGATGATGATGATGATACAAATTTGAGCTTTACTTGCAATGAGGTTGATGGATGTACGCAAATGTGAGGGGAGGTACGTGATACGTGTGTGAATCTAAGAACGACACGTCGTTTTGTTTGTGGGGGTGAGTGGGCTGATGAGTTCTGGAGGGATGCACACGTGTGTGCTGTTTTTGTTTTGTTCTTTCAAAAGAAAGTTAGCTATACGTAATTGGATTTCAACGTTGATGAAATTGGACTAGCTAGTTACCCACCAGAAAAACATAGTGCTTAATGATTGCTTACCTGCACTTATGAATCATTTTCCCAATATAATTTTTTCAGTTTTGTAAGAAGCACCGTCTTAGAAATGTTTTGTGTGGTTCTCGTGATAGCACTATTCATTTTGTGAAATGTGTCATCAGAAATTTCATACTAACAATATTATTTGATGTTATCAGACATTAAATACAGGCACATTTACTAACAAAAATTTAAATATTGTTTTTTTTGGGTTGCCTACTCAGTTTACTGGACTTTTGCTCCGACTATATTTAGATCTGACCCGCGTCGTGCACCTGGCTGTGGTAAGTAAATCTCCCAACAGGGATTTCTGCATACGCTGAGGATCAAACTCGAGACCTCACTTAAGTAATTCTAAGCTGCTTACTACTTAGACCAACTCTCGTTGGTAACAAAAATTTAAATATTGTGTCGGCATGTTATGAGTAACGAACCAATCATGTGAGATCCCATCCTAAGCTAGCCAAAACCTAAGAGGAGGCTACTGAGAACATGTGGCCTTAGGACTGTGAAGATTCAGTGAGACTCCACGGCCCACTCCAGTTTTATTTTTATATTCACTGGGCTTAGTCTCTTCTACGAAAAAAATGTAACAAAATGAATATAAGTGGTATGTTTTAAGAAAAATAGAAGAGTTGGATGTAGCAAAAAAAAATAAGTCTAAGTGAGTTAGGTTTAGGAGTTCATCAAAATCAGAGCATGCCTTCAAAATTAACACCAAATAATAAAGTCATCACATTAGTAATGAAATTTAAACTCACAACTTTGTAAATTATAAATTGACTTATTATAAACTAGATCAACTCTTGTTAAAAACAAGTTTTTACACTTTAGAAGAGGATCATGGTTGAGAGTAATAAGGAGGAGAAATTCTTTAAAAGGGGGTTGGCCCTTGCTGGGAACAAGTCAAAAGATCGCATACAACAAAATAAAGTGCTAGGGAAGGGAAAACAATGGAAACGGAATGAGTTTTGAATCAAGACCAACAAATACCGTAGTTTAGCAATAAAAAATGTCTGAGGTTTTCTAAAGTAACTTGAAGGTACCCTAAATTATACCTAAAAAATGTCTAAGGTTAAAATTTTAAATGTTAACAAAATATTTTTACTCTCTAGCACATTAAGGTTACTTTTTAAAATAATAATAATAAGCATAAAATATTATTTAGAGCTAATAACATTAGAATTAAAAGACTAAAAAGTACTTATAAAATTAAGAGAAAATTAAAATTTTTTATAAAATTAGAAAATAAAATGTATACTTTTACATTTCAAAATATATTATTATTCCAAGTTTTAAATATAAAATTCACTTTGTAGTGCAATTTACATTATAAAATAGATCTTATATTTAGGATAAGAGGTAGTATTGAATTATTTGGTACATGTCACTTTTTGAGATCAAATGAAAACTTTAAGGAACATCAATTTTACATCACATAATGTCTTCGTTTAACAAATTGTTGAAGGAGATTAGAAAGGAAAAAAAAATCCTCCATTTCGGTAATATTAATCAAAGTCAGTATATTAAAGTAAAAATATCACAAATTTTAAACACATTAATTTCGAATAACTGATTTCATCCTTTTATAATATTGTTGAATTATGTAAAAAATTCCTACATTTGTTAAGGAAGGAAATAATTATCGTTTACATACTCCGTCTCATTCTTAGCATAAAATCAAAAGTCGATAAGAGCTAAACTGTTAAAAGAAAATAAATGTTTTAGGAAAAATTGCTAAAAAGGTCCCCTAATATGTGAAATCACAAAATGGGTTCCTGAATAAACAAAATTACTTGTAGATACCAGGTCTTAAATTGTAATTATGAAATAATGGAGAAAATACCAAAATGCTATTTCTTTCTTCTTCTCTTCCTCCTCCTATTTGCTACTTCTCTGTCTCCCTCTCTTCCTCCTCCTTTTTCCTCCTCCCTCCTTCCTCTTCGGCTCTTCCTCCTCCTCCTCTCCTAACTCCTCCTTCCTCATCCTCACCCCCATCTCCCCTACCCCATTTCCTTATTTCCACCCTTAGCCTATTTCACATCTTCAACCCTGCCAAATCCCTAGCCATCTAAGAAATACAAAGCACTTATCATTGTTTACCATCAGACGCTATCATAGAGGGAGAGAATTACCATGACTGTCTCCCTTGTAACTTCTCTTGAATTTATCTCCTCCACCTCTCTCACTTGTTTGTGGCACTGTGAACATTGAACGGGCCACTAAGAAGTCGCCGCACGACCCCTATGGATCATTAAAGCGACAATGAAGAGCGTGTCATCTTTTGCCGGTAGCTTCACAGCATTTTTCAAGCATGATTTTCCACCAGTCTTTCAAATTCAAATGGCTAATTACATAAACTGGTTATTGTTAAAGCATCTCTGATTTTTTGTTATTTGACTTACCATTATTGTAATTTTGCTTACTAATGTTGTAACTGTAGATTTGTTACTATAATGGCAGCAATATAACATGAAAATATGAAAATATTAGTCTTTTGTTTATGGGCAGAACAATATTAACATTTTGTATTTATCAGTTCTAAATGGTAATAATGTATATCTATTTAATGTTATGAAGTTAATGAGACACCTAGTCATAGATTTGTAATTTCGCTTACCAAACTTGTTATTTGATTTGCTATTCTTGTCATTTAACAGTGAAATGTAGAAATAATGTTAACTTTCCATGAAAATTAATTTCATGAGAAACCTAATCATATAATTGTTATTTCGCTTATCATTCTTATCATTTGGCATACTGTTCTTATCATTTGGTAGTAAAATGTGAAAATAATGATGGTTTTTTAGCTTAATTTCGTCAGAAACCAAATCACAAGCTTGTAATTTCGCTTACTAAACTTGTTATTTGATTTATTGCTCTTATTATTTGGCTTACTACTGTTGTCATTTGGCAATGAAATGTGAAAATAATAGCAATTCAAATTGAAACATTTAATAATCTCAAATTCAAATGTCTTTTCAGCAATACATAACTATCATTAATAATTTATAACGGTGGTGCTTATCAACAAAGTAAAAAAATATTAGATATATCTTAAATGCAGTAACAGTATATACAATTTATCCTCATTTGCCTATTAACACTATCTATAGAGACATCCTCCATTTTTTGGTCTTTCGTCCCTTGTCAGCTCGTGCAAGTATAGCAAATAATAAATTAAGTATATCAAATAACAACTTAACTATTTTAAATAACAAGTTGAGTTTAGCAAATGACAACTTAAATATTACATATAACAAGTACATCAAATAACAATTTAACTATTGCAAATAACAAGTTGAGTTTAGAAAATCACTACTTAAGTATAATATATGACAAGTTAAGCATATCAAATTACAACTTCATTATTCTAAATAATAAGTTCATTTTAGAAAATCACAACTTAAGTATTATCTATGAGAAGTTAAGTATATTAAATAACAATTTCCCTATTACATTCAATTAAGCAAACCGTATACCGGGTCTTGCAAAATATTTAACATGCAATCATTGACAACTACATCTAATAGGTAGTATGAACTCAAATACCAAATCTGACCATCAGAAATTATGGCTAAGCCATCATAGAAACAAGTGTGTAGTTATAACACCACCAAGGGAAATTGCAATAATGGTATGTGAATAACAAAAAAGTAGTATGTATTTGATGTCAATTATTTTTTGTAATATTTAGTGATAAGTGCACACTAAGATGGTCTATCCACTTAATATTCTCTTACCACAAAACATATTACTTACAAAAATTGGTATGCAGATCTACCAACACCTTGGGCCGCTCATATTGGGCCCTTCTTGGTCCCAGTCCTATTGGGACGGGACAGGCCTGTCTCGAAATTCTTCAGGACAGGATAGAAAAGAGATTGGGATAGGATGGGACGTGGGACAACCTTGTCCTATCCTGGTCCCGAATATATTTATATATATATTTTTGTTTTGTTTTTCATTTTATTATATGTATAACATATATATTAATTAATATATAAATATATAATAAATGCAAACCCTTAATTGTATCCTTTTTTCTTTTACTGCGCTGCCCATCCAAACTCATCACTCTCTTGCCTCTTGCTATCACTTGCACAGTCAAATGGGAAATAAAACGGTAGAGACAAAAACGCCGAATAGGGAAGCACAAATCTCATCAGCTACTTGCTGCATGCACAAAGCAACAAAGAGAGATTGAAGGCAAGAAAAGAGGTGCGGGGCATGACAGAAGCTAAAGGTTTTTCCCCTCCCTCTTTGTGTTTCTTCTCCACTACCCTCTCTCTCCTTGATCTCACTATTTCTTCTTTCACTCTTCATCTTTTGTTGTTGGGTTATTGTTTTTTTTTTTTCATTCGGATTTTGATTTATTCTTGGGATTATTGTAATAGAGTTGAAATTTGAAATAATGAATCTCTTGGAAAGTGAAAACCCATATGTAGTTTTTGTCTTGCAGTCTTGCTTGGCTCTGTCCTTTTTTTTAGGGACGTCCTAGTCCAGTCCCTATCTTGACAGGATCGGGACAACTTCGGGATGGGACGGGACGAGACACGGGACCGAAATGCTATCTTGTGTGTCTTTCTTGGATGGGCCCGTCCAGTCCCATGAGTACCCCTACCAATACCCTTCTCCCAAAAGATTTATGAGGGGTGGAATTTATATACACCAAAACATTAGTTGTCCCACATCTAAATTAACTTCAAGATGAGTTAGAATTTTGACAAGTCCTCTTTGTGTGTCCAGATTAGTGACACCTAGTGCAATAGTAGACTTTTTTGTTTTGCAATTGTGATTTCTGCCTTTTAGTTCTTGGTTTCCCATCTTAGTCATGAATTTCTTGTGACAGTCTCAAAAAATTCTTAATCTTACCAGCATAATAACAAGTCAAGACGCATGTATTTAAATTACAGGTTTAGTTATTAAAATAACAAGTGTAGATATAAAAATTACAAGTGTAATATGTTAAATAACAAATATGGATACAAAAATCACAAGTGTCCTATGTCAAATAATAAGCATGTATATAAAAATTACAAGTCTAGTAAGTAAAATAACAAGTTTAAATATGAGAATTATAGATCTAGTAAATGAAATAACATGTTTGGATGTGAAAATTATAAGTTTATTTAGTGTAATAACAAGTCTGGATATAAAAATTATAAGTTTAGTTAGTGAAATAACAAGTTCAGTGTTTAAATAACAAGTGAAGCATAACAGATCATAACTCTATAAATAATAAATATTCCAAGTAACAAGGTTGAATATGAAAATAACAAATTCACTATTATAAATAATAAATAAAATATAACAAGTTCATGGTTAATTAAATAGAAAATTAAAAACAAAAAACAAGCGTTCATTATAGGAACCCAAATGATCAAAAACAAAAAATTAACAAACTAATCTCTAGAAATATTAAAAATCTGTCCATTTGTATTAGCAGCACTATACAAACAAATTAAAAACAAAAAAAATTAAAAAAATCCTTTCAAATTCAATTCCCCCAATAACTAATTTCCACGACGTCAAAATCATCATTTGCAAGTAAATCATAATTGAACCAGAAGAACTAAACCAAAGAGCCACAACAGTAATAAATCTAGAAAGAAAACTAAAGAATACTTGAATAGAGATGTGTAGAACCAAGGGGGTGTGGATTGATGAACCTGAAATGGAATGACGAGTTAACGAACAAGAAGATTAAGGAATGACACCAGCAATGTACTCGAAAAAGAACAAAGAGATGGAGATTGGAGAGACAAGCCACGGTGGCAATGGCAAAGTCGAAGCAAGGATGAAGGAAGCAAAGAAATAGGAGAAAGAAAGAGAGTGAGAGGGAGAGAGAGAGAGAGAGAGAGAGAGAACACTATGTGGAAGTGATGAAGCAAATTAAAATGAAAATACAAGATAGGTTTCAGAAAAGCATAAGGGCCGCTTTCTTTTCTTTTTTTTTTTTTTAATGGGGTACTTTGGTGTTTTTCCTAACACTTCATAATTACAGTTTAAGATCTGGTTTCTAACAGCAATTATGTTAATTGAGGAATCTATTTTGTAATTTCATACATTCAAAAGTCTTTATTTGCGATTTTTTGATGTTTTATTGTAATTCTAAAACATTGAAGGAGCTGTGTTTTTTTTTTTCTTTTTTGGTTGGGTAATGAAACCCCTATCAGATTTGGAGAGAAATTGTTGGCTAGACTCAGCAGGAGTTATTTTAGATGCTTCTCCAATATTTAATATAAAAGCTATTTGATTAGATTAAGAAAGTAAATAAATTAGTTAATTATAAGAAATATGACATGTTTTTTTAAAATAACATAATCATTCTCTTTAATATCATTCCTCCCATTCCTACTTAATTATGGTTGAGGAGTATCAATAGGATAATTTAGAAAAAAATTTATAAATATAATAAATAAGTTTTATATTTATAATCAAAATCAACTAAATAATTAAGTTCTATATTAAAAACCGAAAGAGTACTAAATAATTTGTCTTTACATTGTATATTTTTCATAGAGCTTTTATTTTATGGATCTTTGTCCTATATGGCTTTATCAGTTCATACTATGATTTTTTTTTGTGGCAAAAAAACCACTTATTTCTTTAAATACTTGCCAAGTAAAAAAGTAGTATTGATATCAACAGAGTTGTATCTAACGGAAAGGACTAACTTCTCACAATATAACAAATTAATATTTAAATTATGTATCAGGAGAGATACTCATATTTAATGGCCGAAAGTATTTCAAGTATAATTCTCTCCATGCTAGGAAATAAAATTAGTATTTGATGAGGAAGTCGTCTCATTTTGAGAAAACGAACAACCTATCATAAGATGCCAACAACCAAGACAAACTAGACAACGTACCAAAATGGCCATAGCTTCATTCCCTGTGGTTTCATCACAGACGAGTCAGCAAACTGTCAAGTTAAAGACATCGCCCCACACTCCGTGTTCTCCGAGACAAGAACACCCATGCGACGATGTCCCAACCCAAGTCTAAACTCTACGCAAAGCGACAAATTGAAAACTTTGCTTCCTCCTTATTCTTTTTTTTTTTTTTCCTGTCCTCTTTCTTTTTCCTCAATCTTGGTCTACTTCCACCACCACTCATGCTCACTACACCCACCCCTATTCACCACACAACCCAACCCACTCGACAACGGCAACAAACAACCACCCCATTCTTCACCACGCGTCACCACCCAGCCTGCAATATTGAACCCCCGCCACCACCTTCTCACAAACCACTGGGATTTATAGCAAATACTTATTGTTTTCTTCTTCTTCGCTGGGAAGATGTATAGGGACGTATCTAGCTGCAACACCTACAACTATGGTGACGCAGTCTATTGGGATGCTCGCTATATGCAAGAGGGTGGCTCATTCGACTGGTACCAGCGTTATGCTGCTCTTAGGCCTTTCGTTCGTAAATACATGCCTACCTCTTCTCGGATTCTCATGGTTGGCTGTGGCAATGCCGGTAAATTTCCTGACTTACTCTTAAACTTCTGGGTTTTTCTTTTGATCGATTAGTTTATATTGTGTTGTTCTAAGACGGGGTTTTAGCTGCTTGGTCAGTTGTTTGGTTATGGTGAATCAAGAGAAAAGAAAAGAATTTAGGGTGTTCTTGTTTGTTGACTGCTGTGATAAATCCCTTTAGTTTCTGGTTTTCGCGATTTTCATAAGATGCGATTTTGGCTGGGAGTCCTGTTCGGTTGTTGAGAATTCGGTAGAAAAGTGAAGAATCCGGGATGTCTTTTCTGGTTTAACTTTTCATATAAAGTTTAGGGTTCTCTTTCTTTCTCTGAAACATATACTTTTTCATGAATAAATCCTAATTTATTTTCGAGGCTAGTCTTATGAGTATCCAAACTCGAAGCTTCCTCAGATTCAGGGCTGATCTTATTATGTCCTTCAATTTCTGTGGCTGTGACATGAGGCCAATATGTGATAGTATATCTGGTGTTTTATTGATGATGGTACTGTTTTATTGTTTCAGAGTATCAAAAGAAGAGATTTTATGTTGTTTTAACACAATACAATTATTTGGAGCATTTGAATCATTTGACTCTATTGTCATCCATCTCCTAATAATACTATCTCCAGATTTATAAGAGATAACTTATACTTAATTTTAGCTATAACTTGTAGAATTGATCATTTCAGATAAATAAAAATGATTTCCTAACTGCGAAGAACATTTTTTCCCTTTCTCCCTTCAGTAGAAGTTCCATGTTTCTTTCCCTATCTGGGACTGCAACCTTGGTTTGTTACGTCAGAGGTGCTCCACTATCATGGATCGGACTTGATCTTTTGAGATTTATTCAATGTGTCCCCATTTATTGGTGAGACGAGGCTGAGAGAGGAAGAAAGCTGCAATTCACTTCTTTAAGAAGAAACCTGTAATAATGTTTAATCATCTGGAGCTAAAAGCTGGAATGTGTTCATATATCTGAACTCACTCCCATAATTCCAGTTAATTGCTCCAAAAAGTTTGCATGTGCGTGCGCTTATGATTATAATTATTTAATGAAAACCCCAGAAAAGATACAAACCTCTATATTTCTCCTATTCCAGTTGGATACAATGAAACAGTTCTATATAAGAGGCTCTCAATGGGGAACTAGTGAAAGAAAACTTAGTAGCAGGCTCAATAGACAGCTGAACCAGTGAAGAGGAAATGCAGGAAAGACAATGAGGGGCCTTTAAGATACTAGCTGTATCCCTTCAGGATTCTTCAGAATTTTAGCTAGCCCTCCAATTTTCTCCAAAGGCCCCCCTCCCTAACTGCCAAACATACCCTTCCATTTGTATTTGCATCCTCTGCATTTTCTTCGCTTGTCCCATCCTTTTCTCTAGAATCAGTTGCATAGCTGTCACTACTGCTGTCTTTTTCCCTACTGCCCCATTTACTCGTTTAGAGATATTCTAATATGCTACACCTGAGAAACTGGGCCTTAGCATTATTACTACTAAACTTATCAGCGAATCAAAGAAAGATTCGGTAATTTAACGCACAACAATAGAGGAATGGTTTCGGTGGATTTAAGCTGCATTCATATTGGAAATGGATAATGGTAGTGTAAAGTTTCTGCTCTATGAAAGAGTGAGGTTTTACTTTTACACGAGCGAGGAATTTGAAATAATTTAGGCAATTGGAGATAGTTACGGGTTAAACTCATCTTAATTCTGTGACTCCAGTTTCCATCCGGAGTACTTAACATGCTAGAAAGTAGGAACAGGTTTTGTTGTCAGGAATCCACATTATAATCAGTCATACCTTTTCATCTTCTTTTTGTTTGAATGACAGAATGGGAGATTTATTTTATGTTGAATTGTCCTTTCTAAAGAAGCTTACGTAGAGAATTGTTTTGCTTTGTAGTTATGTCGGAGGATATGGTCCAAGACGGTTATGAGGACATCATGAATATTGATATTTCAGCAGTCGCTATTGACATGATGAAAAAAAAATTTGAGTACATCCCGCAGCTAAAATGTATCATATCAATGATCTTATATTGATCCTTTTTTATAATCTTCATCTGTTGACCAAACACAACCTTAATCCTTATGCAAATTTCCTTAATGAATCTCAAGACATGCAGATGGATGTCAGAGATATGAGCTTCTTTCCTGATGATTCATTTGATGGTGTAATTGACAAGGGTATGAGTCATTTACTGCTCTTAGTGCAAACCTTGCCATTTTTTTTTTTTGTAGAATATTTAAAATTAATGACATACTTCATATACTGATGATACTTTACTCTTGCTGTTCATTTACACTTGATCTCCTCTGATGCTTGGTCTAGGAACTCTTGATTCATTGATGGTATGTACTTTATTGTTGATTCTTTTAAACTCTTTTATGCAATATTTGCATGCTCTAATCCTCATATTTGCTTTATCATCTTTTAGTGTGGTACTGATGCTCCGATTAGTGCTGCTCAGATGCTTGCAGAAGTGTGTAGGTTGTAGACTATAGTGAGATTGATTTCTTGAGATTCGTGCAAAAACTCTTTAAATAAGTATGCTTCATTTTTCAAATTCTCACTCTGGCCGGTTTCTTCTTTGTAGACTTCTAAAGCCAGGAGGGACCTACTTGTTGGTAATCTTACTTCCATGGATGAAGCTTCAGTTTTATCACTTTGTTATGCATTCTAAATGTTCAGAGGACCCAAATTGATTATCTAATTGCCATATGCAGATTACCTATGGTGATCCAACAGTAAGGATGCCTCATCTAGGACGACGGATGTATAATTGGAAAGTTACATTGTATAATATCCGTAAGTTTTTTTTTTTGCCTTTTCACTTAACTGAGAAGATATCTTTTACCATTGTGAAATTATTTATCATGGGTTGCATACAATTTTGTCTGTTGAACTGAGAGTCTGGATTTTGAGCTTTTGGTTGGTCAAGAATATAATAAAAAGCAGGAGAATTTGATTCAAAACTTGCATATTTCATATTTGAGAACGTAACTGATGATTACTGCAGAGAACCATCATTTCATGTTGAGTAATATAGATTAGATTGTTTGTTCTCTTATTATAGAATCTTACAGTAAGTGCTTCAAAATTGCTGCAGCTAGACCTGGATTTCAAAAGCCAGAAAGTTGCAGTTCATCAAGGAAATCATTGTTGGAACCGATTCCGCTGGATGAAAAGGGATTCATTCCAAAAGACTGGGTTTTGGAAGATCCAGATTCTCACTATATATATGTTTGTAGAAAGGTGGATGATGCTGAGATAGACGATCAACTGACCTACCGGTTAGCGGCCAATTTATTATAGGCCTCCTGTTCTTGCATTGAAGCAGTGGATGAAGGTAGCTTCTGTCTTGTTGTAATGCTTTGATATATACCACAGACATTTATATGGTGTTTTGCTGTTTGTTCAAAGACTGAAGAAACTAGGTATCCACCATCATTGGGATGTTTTGTATTAATATTATGTTCTCTTGAATCAAACCAGTGGTCTTAGCTTGTAGATTACTCAAATTATTGTGATCACCAAAGGGTTATTACAGATTGCTACACACATTGTGTTATATTGCTTTTATATCAGTTTGTGTGGTTTTTGTTGCATCGTTCATGGAAATAGGGTTTTTACGTATGAAGATTGTTCTTTGCATAAAACAAAATTGTTTGGGGAAAATTGGTAAAAAGTACCCAGTTTGAAAATTTTATTAATTACAAGGACTTAAATTGAGTGGGTGCAATTCTTTCTCAATTGGATGTAATGTATATCTAGTTATGTGTAAATGACTTTCGTTTTAGAGGCTTCTATACAGTTGAAGAAAAGTTTTATCCGTTGTAGATGAAATGTATCATATACCTTTAGCTAATAGACTTCTCAAACATGGATGTTTTACAAAATTTCCCATTTATTTGTTCCAAAAGGCATGTTTTAAAATTATTTTAAAGAATTTTAAAGCCTAATATGATAAATGCATATGGACAGTTCCAATTTCTGTCCGTCATTGGAAAATTTGTTATTAAGGTCATGCGGTCAACATATATGTCATCACTTAATTTTATATCTTTCCTTTCCTTTCCTTTTTTTTTTTTTTTTAAAACTTGGAAAGAGAATTTTATATCCTTTTATGGTTACGTGCATGTGTGGTCAAGACGAGCCTTAGCTAATCGGCTTAGGCCAATACCTGGACCATAATGGGCCTTAAGTAAGCTGGGCCCAAGTTGAGACCTACGCCTATGTGCATTAGGTCTTTCACATTTAATGTGCAGGAAACCATACTCATCAGCAATAAAATAGATGGCTATTAACATAGCAAGTTAGTTTTTTGTTTTTTTTTGCCAACAATTTAGCAAGTTAGCTAACTGATGGTAATATTACTTCCGGTCCTTAAAGATGAAAAACTACTCTTCCGGTTCTTAATATAAGATCATTTAACTAATTTGATTAGATTAAAAAGTTAGGTAAGTTAGTTAATTATAAAAAATATAACATATTTTTCTAAAACACCATAATCATTTTTCTTAATATCCCATCTTCCTCTTCTACTTGATTATGGTTAAGGAGTATCCATAAGGGTAATTTAGAAAAAATTGATAAATATGAGAAATGAATCTTATATTTAGAATCAAAACTAACTCAATAATTAAGTCATATATTAAGGATCGGAGGAGTAATAGACTAATTTGAGTAGATTAAGAAAATTAGTTAAGTTAGTTATTTGTAATAAATATGTGTTGTTTTTTCTAAAATACCCTTGTTAACTAAGTATATTAGCTAAAACTACTTACAATAACTATTTAGAAAAAAAGGATAAATATGAGACAAAATATATTGAAGTCTTATATTTGTGACCAAATTGAATGTCAAATTAGCTTTTACATTAAGGAGTAGAGATAGTAACAAGGTAATAATGAAATGGGTAAATTATGGTCTCTCGTATCATAATCAAAAAGAAATTTCCCCTTGTTTAAAATGCTATCCAAGCATTAAAATAATTTATTATTATTGTTTAGCTTTGATGAACAAAAATTGAGAAATAAACTTTCAAATTTATCTTAAATTTATTTTCTTGTTTTTATATTCATGCATTTTTTCAAATGACAAAAAGGGGTAGGTGTTATAGCTCTCCGAGACTAAAGTAGGTTTCACAATCACAACTTAATATATATTTATGGAGATATTTATAAATTATTAACCAACAAAGTCTTGATATTGATAACAAGATTCATAGATATATCCTTAATTGTTTTTTTTCCTTTTATATTCTTGCATCCTTAATAAAGGGGGAAAACGCAAACCGATATATTATTTATTTCTTTCTTTTTTGATAAAATTATTTCTTTCTTTTTTGGCCCTTTCCTATTAAATTCTTCCAACCACGAATATGGCTTGGAAAACTCTAGAATTAACCAAAACCAAAAGAAGCAATTAAATTCATACCAATTTAGGAGGGTCCACTTTGAGGCTTATGAGGGAAAAAAAAGAGGAAGATGAGAGAGAAAGGGATGGGAGCAAGCAAGAGGTGGATCATCTTCAATTCTTCACATATCATAAAAGGCAAAAAGACAAAAACTCTTAAAGTAACAGTTCTTCTCCACATTTTTCATCACTTTTCCCCTACTTCTCTTGTTTTGGAAACCATCTTTTTGAATTTTTTGACATTCCTCTATTTACCCTTTTGCCACTTCCAATATTTTCTTCTTTTTTTCTCCTTTTTTTTTTTTTTTGAGATTTAATGCAATCCTCATTCCTCCATATTCAATGCTTTCCTCTCAAGTCTTTTTTTTTTTTGGCCAGAGCTTCTTACCAGGCGAGCACCTACTTTTTGGTTATTTATTTATTTTATATACTCGATATTTTTGCAGGAAGCTAAATATAGATTATAAATAGCATCAACTTAGTTTGGCAAAGGGAATAGTATCAATTTAGTCTTCTTTGACTTTACCAAGCTGGAATATACCTTTGTTAAACACAAAAAATATAGATATATGTGTGTAAATATCTTTTTTTTTTTAAATGTAAATCTCGTTTACACATTTTGGTGGGATTTAGAAGGGATCTCAATTCTTGTGCTCCTAACAACAGAAGGAAAACTATCAAAATCCGTTAAATTTGATTTGAATAATTTAAAAATTAAAAATTTTGATATAAAGTAATATTGTTAAGTTTATAATTAAAAATATTTTTATTATGTATTTTTCTGCTATCTAATATAAAATCATTGTGAAAATTAAAATAAATAATGTAGAGCATCCTAAACATTTATTAAAGCAACAAAATATTCACAATACTATAAGTGGCCCAGATATCATTTCCAAAAATATTCAAAATGATTCAAAATATCTCATTAGATGCTAGTAAGATTTTTTTCCCTTCTCTTTTACTAATTATCGAAGTGAAAAATCCCATAGTGAATGAACAAGTGTCAACTAGTAACTCATCAATCCTTAATTTTAATAATTTTTAATTATTGCAATAAGGGCAAGTGTGCATGTTACGTATATTGGATTTGAGTCTTGGATTTCAATTTTTTCCCTCTCTATCTTTTTTGAATTAATTTTTTAGCAAATTGCTCCCTTTCTTTTCTAGTTATCCCATTGCTATTAACCATTTTTTTAAAAAAAGAAATAATTAACATAAAGGTGAATTTTTGCTATTAAAAGCATTGTGAGATGTTAACTTCTCACTTTCTTATACTTTCCAGAAGACAGAAAGTACCATAAGAACACTACTCTTGACCTAATTCTGGTGGTGCCTATGCTATTAATTGCAGTTGCCATAAGTGGCAAATAAGAAAGAAATAGAAACAAATCAGGAAAAAGAAACAACAGCATATCTGAACAATTTTTTCTCCTAATATGTCTATAAATGTAATATAAAAATTTTAACTAAAAGAATAAATAATTTCTCATAAAATATCTATATAATATGGAAATTACATCTTTTATTTCCAAGTTAAAAGCAACGACCTTTATCATAATTTATCTTTTAAATTCCACACAAGGTACGAGATTTACAATCTAATTCCTAACTAAAAGGTTAACATTTGAAGGGTTTTATGAATTTTGAATTCGTTGAGTAAAATAGGTAACACGAAAGAAGAAAAAGTGAATTGCCATTAAAAAAAATACAGATATAAAATTAGAAACAACCTGAAGAAGAAAATGGAAAAAGGAAATATAAGGAAGGAAGTGGGACCCAGCGGATACCCAATGGCACGAAAACACTCCAAATGTGGCAAAAAAGAGTCATGCACTACTCTAAATAGATAGATACAGAGCCATGCAAAGAAAGTTGCCGTTTCCAGTCTCTCGCCATTTGGGGTTAAAACGCTCTCTCTTCTTTCTCTCTCTCTCCATCTCTATTCCTCTTCTCCAAATTTAGAGTCTTTCCCTCAAAAACCCCTTCAAAACACCAAAGGGAGCTTTAGAAAATCCAGAAAGGAAGCTCCTTTAGGGGTTGCTAGAGAGGAAGAAAGAGAGCTCAATCAATTTCTCGAAACAGAGATCTCTGCATTGAACCCCGGATTGATCTTGACTCTGGTTCTGCTTCTGGGTTTTGATCAGTTGGGTCTCTGTGATTTCTTCTGAGTTAGAGAAATGGGTCGAGGGAAGATTGAAATCAAAAGGATCGAGAATGCGAACAGCCGGCAAGTTACATTCTCCAAGAGGCGTAATGGATTGCTTAAGAAGGCTCAGGAACTTGCTATTCTCTGTGACGCCGAGGTTGCTGTGATCATTTTCTCTAATACAGGGAAGCTTTTCGAGTTTTCGAGTTCTGGGTATGCGTTTAAATTTTTTTGAACTTTCGATTTCATTGCATGTTGTTTTTCACTACAGCCCCTGTTGTTTCTATAAACTAGGCTGGGAAATTTCAGCGTGTTCTTGGAAGTTTGGTTGACATGAATTATGTCGCTTTTGTTCCTCTTTTATATATTTACATTATTTGCATGCGCTATTTTCTTCCATTTCTTAAAAAAAAAATAGTAGACTTCTACATCTTTGGCCCTTACTGTGTTATGTAGAGTTCCTTCGTTTCTGGCGTATCTCAACGCATTTCTCTTCATTTTTCTAAAACATTGTCGTAAATCACTTCTTTTCTCTGTCTAAGTTTTTATATGATGGGTATTTGTGCTCCTCGAATTGATCATCTTATCACAAGCTTCCTGAAGTGAATTTGAAGTAAATGAAAACTTGAACTTTTTCTGTTTCCTTTTTCTCGTTTTTGACTTCGTTCATATGACCTCTATCTCATATTATGAACTTGAATTGCCTTTTGAAGTTGTGTTCAGCAACAAGATGGCATGCACTGTTTTACTGCAACTGGGTGTCTTCAAGATTTTGAAGTGCCATGTTAATTTTTTGCACTCCTGAGATTTATGGTGCAGATTTTATATTTTTACTAATTGTCGTTGTATAAGCAGCTTGAATGATAGTTTTTGACCAGAAAAATCTTGATCTCATACATTCATATGCATTTGAGTAAACTCAGCATATGGCCTAGCAAATGATATAACATAGTTCCTACTAACCAAACATGTGTCTTTGTACTTGCAATTTACTCTTGCAGTATGATGCGAACACTTACAAGATACAACAAATGCTTTAATTCTTCAG